CTTAGAGCCAGATACAACTTCCCACCACCCTAGATAGAAAGGCCTATGTGGCCTGACTAATGTTGCAACATTAAACTGAATCATCAGCCTGTTGGTAGATTATAAAAGAAACTCACAAGAGAATGGAAACACTACCCAACTTATTTTAACTTCCTTTGCCTAGCTCACATGCTTTGTTTTCCAGTGATCAACCCCAAACTGCTGTTTACTGGACCTCCAGACTTGTGCTATGAACCACTGTGCACTTCAAGGGACTCAAGCAGGCTCCCAGAGAGGTGCCGTGGAAATCTGGCAGCAGAGCACCACATCAGAAAACTTCATTGTAAAATAACCCTGCTCAGGTTAGGGCTACTTCAGTTTGTTATTGAAGTCATCAGTGATTTCAGATGTGAAATCAGTATAAGAATACATATAATTGGGGGGATTTTTTTTGGGGGGGGAATACTGGCATGACTGCTATGCCACTCTTCCTATGTCATCAACTGCCTGTGTGCATCTACAAAGAACTTACAGGTGTAAGTCCTTCCAGATAGTATTTTAACACTTTTATAGAGCTTTCCATGAGGCTAAGAGAGAGCTGCAAGCCTAATTAGGTCACAGCAAAGGGAAAGATTAGAATCAGAGTCTTCCCTGCCACACTCATTCTCTTTGCCACTATGCTCCATTCACTTCCGAAAAAGGAATGACCTGTAGGACACTAATTTCTACAAGAAATTTTACAAGGCTTTGTTCTACTTGTTACAGTGAAAATGTGCTACATTGTGGTTTTTATAATGCAGCTTACTAAATATTAAAAATCCAATAGTACGTGCATCTCATGGGAGAAAAGAACCTCCAGAGGTGTTTTCTTTTGTTAGTATAAATCATCTTTTTGAGACCCCTTTGCATTTGCTCTCATGCACCAGTTAACAGACAAGTTACCAAGAGTGAAATGAACCATGTTATACATTACATATAAATAGAATGAGGAAAAAATAAAATGAAAGGACAAATCAGAGAGATACTTGTTTCAGGCCTAAAATATCCATGGTGAAAATAGTACTATTTCATCTTCCCCGCTGTCCTTCTCTTCAATAACACCACTTACAGAGCACACTACACACTGTGACAATTTTCACCGGGACTAGGGAACCATTGCTCACCAACACTCAAGCCTAACAGAGCAGGGTATGAGGCTGCAACAGGTTGCCTGATCCACCTGCAGAAATAAAGTAATCTTGGGGTCAGGAGTAATCTTGGGCTCATCCCCACTGCTATCCCAGTGACCCAGGCCACAGAAATAACACAAAGTGAGTAAAGTACTGGGATGGGAATGGTATTTCAGAGGGGTAGCCTGAAACCTTATGTATATTTTATGTTTGTGTAAGAATATGGTGCGGTTAGCACAGTATTCAACAGTTACATACTTTCCCCCTTTTTATATCCTTTTTATTCCACCCCGAATAAAAACCCAGTAGTTAACAGCCCATGTCCTGCTATATTAAAACTGAGGATGAACTGTTTTCCAAGACAACCAGTTTTGTTACCTAAATTCACATATTTCTAGATCCGGGCTACAGCCAGGATTGGTACAGACCTGAACACTGTGCTGTCATGGATTGGGACAGAAGGGTTACATTATATTAACGCGTCTTTGTATTTTGAACAAATGGTGGTAAGCAAACTGTTTGCCTGGACATCAGTCAAGTGGCTGTAGAAAGATATCAAATACCAACATAAGAGTTTTTTAAAGAGCCAATATTAACTTGGCTGAAAATTTTAATTGCTAAATGGCACTCAAAACCAACTAGATATACTCCAGGTTAGATTGTCAGCTGTTGTGGAATAAACAAGCAGGTTTGCTCTAATAGGCATTAGGTTCTCAACAGGACAATAGCCAAAGTCTGTGTTTATTCTACATTTCCACCATGATTAAGAGATTCTGCTTTATCCTGTTTGAAACTTCACTGTGCTCATTTCATAGAACATTTTTAACACTGATTTAAGTGTAAACCTATTTCCTGTTTCATGATACTACCTGATTCAATATTATTAACTGCATTTTCAGCTGTCTGTGATATTTTGATCTTAAACTTTTGAAGATCCAGGACAAATCATATAATTTAAAACAACATCCACCATTCAGATGTATATAATTTTAGCAACAAACTTGCTGTGGAAGCATACTCACCATATTTCTGTTCAGCATGCTGTCCTCTCAGATCAAGGGAGACATATTTTTTTCTAATTGCTTCAAAAGCCATGCTTAATACACCCACACCAGTGAGGTCACTAACCTGCAGCCTCCCCGCCCTGTTTCCAAGTAGTCTTCCAATGATTTAAAAATGCGTTCAACTTTTTTGTAAAAAATACATATATATGGGAGGCAAATGCAAATCTGAGGGAATTAATATACACCATGCTTAATTTTAAAAATGCAGAGTTCACTCAACAATTGTACTCGCCTTATGTAAGTTACTCAAGAAATAACCAAACTGAAAATTTTTTCACTCATGTTACTATGTACGTCAATTATCATTACTCAATAAAATTTAAATAATAATTTTAAAATGCAGAATGAATCAGCTTTCAATATGACAATATTTTTTCTTTCTTTCTTTCTTTTTTGTCAAATGCATCACAAAGACAGGATGAAGGAGGGCTCAAGCCGGGCAAGGGGGGGGGGGAAATCAGTGGATCTAATTTTCACATATGCCAGTATGCATCCTTAGAACATATGGAATACTTGAAATATTAATATATATAATATTTATATTAAACCTAACAAACTCTAACAGCTGATCAAACTGTTATTTCAATGCTTCTCCAAAGTTTCTATACTCATCAGAACCACTTACAACATTCCTACCAAAAGTCACTTATACAAACAATATTTTAAGAAAGTCACCTGGCATGTACAATCCACATATGCTTCTCTCTGTATATGGGTCTACCATCGGTTTTCTACATGGAAGTGCCTTACAACTAGTATAGCTATAGTAAAATACAGTTTAATGACACAACAGCAAGGAAGCAAGTACTAAAAAGTTTTCTCTTTAAGCTATATTTCTTCTTCTGCGTGTCTCTTTGTGGTCCCCCCCCCCAGTATTCCCTGTTTCTTGAACTTACTAACAGCCAATATTAAACTAACAGGGTTTCCCCATCACCAGTTTAAAAAAAAGTTATATGACAAAAACTAAAGACAAAACAAAACACTAGGGCAAAGCCTTTAATTAGGACCAATTAAAATGTTACAAAGGACTGAAGAATTTTTTGAGTTTTTCAGAACTCACCATCAAGCTGGACATTAAGCAAAAACAAACAGAAAAAGGCAAATATTTTACTGGGCATGATGGAAAGGTCTCTCTACTTGCAGACTGTTACAGACAGCACAGAAGGTATTACACTGACTTGGTTTGGTTAATACATGCTCTGTTCAAAAAGATCTCAAGTAGCACCAAGGCTCTTGGGACACAGATGCCACTGCAACTTTCTCTTTGAAAATGTAAAAGCCGACAGTGAATTTGTCTTATCTTTTGCCCTCAGCCTAAGCAATATTTGTACCAGTTCTTGCCTCTCTAAATTCCCTCTCCTTCGCTTATTCCCAGTGATCATTTTTGTTAGCTATAGCTCTTAACAAAAAATAAAAATATTGTAATGACAAATAATAAAGTGTTAACACCAAGTTTTGCATAAAATCCCTATAAGTACAATGCAATCATAAAATAAAACATACAACATTTATCCTTAAAGTGATCTATTCCATGAGTTTCCATATAGTACTGATGGAATTTCAACATTGTAAAAGTGTTGCATGTTTTCTGTTGTTATATATTACCATTGTCATGCAGGAGGACCGTTTGATGACTGGATTAGTCATCAATCTGACTAAAAACCGAACTATCAGTTTAGACTGCAAGCCTGCGGGATGGATCTAATTGGTTAAGAAGTTCTGTACAATTCTGAGTTCTTCAGTCATTTAATAGACAGTGGAAGTTATTATTCTGTGTGCCATTGTGATCCCTGATTTCTTCTTATTTTAATTAATAAAACCTTATGAGTTTAAAATAAGATTTGACATGACCCACTCAGATGTCCAAAGAACTGGAATTGTTCTCTTCCTCATACCCATGATGCTCAATCTTTTGCATATCCTTTGTTCTGTTTCCAGAAAACTATCGTAGACGGTTCAATAAATAACACACATAAACATAAAACAGGAAAGACATTCTTTGATAAGCAAAATAATTAAATAGAAAGAGCAGGTTAGAGATCAGCATTCATTTTTCAAATTAAATTTAAAAGCCTGCTCTAGTTACTTAAAAGATTGGCAAGTTTTACAAATAACATCGCTGAGCCTTTTAGAGAGGAACACAGCTGCATTAGAATGAAGTCATTAGGCAATACATTTATTTTGAAGCCAATTAACCTTTTGTCAGAGATGTCGGAACTGTAATGGTTTCAGCAGTGGAGGTCAGCCTCTAACAGGGGCACGTATGACAGCGATTACGCTGTCTGACATATGCTGCAGACTGGGAGTGCAGCCGTGGAATGAGAATCCACCTTCGTTTGTATTCTGCTCTGCATTCCAAGGGAGCAGGCAATCTTGACCTATCCATTTAGGTAATTAAAGCTTCCATTTGGAACTGTCCTGCAGGAAGGTGAAATTTGGGGGGAGATAAATGGCTGCTGTTCACTGTATCTAGCCACTTCCATCATTTGATGGACTGCCTGAAATAGGCTGGGTTGCCAGGTCCTCATAAAAATAGAGATGAATTGAGCAGGAGACAATTCTCTAAGGCAAAGCAACTCTGTCATCTTCCTTTTTGCAGCATATAATTTAATTGTTAGCCAAGGTAGATGGCTGACTCAGGAGGCCACTCTCTGACTGCTCCCCCACCATCTTCTATTTGCTAAGAAATTACTCCACTTTATTTACTTATAAGCCAACATTTTTTTTGGCAATGAGAGATGTCACTTCAATAAGCACAGCTGGCTGTCACAGCTGCGCCCTGACTTACCTTCCAGGCTATTTTGTTTCCTCTTGAATCATGCTCAAGGGCGATGGGGAAGTCACCTCGCTCATAAAACTTGCGAAATGCTGTGGGCTTTGTTGGTCTTTCTTTAAATGCTCCCGCAGTTGGGGGACCTTTCACCTAAAAAAGAAAAAGACCCATTATGCAAGCAACAAGAAATACATTTGTGATTTAATATCTGGTTGAATGCAGGTAAATATGAAACCTGAATGGTACAGCCTCCACCCACACAGCACCGATATCAACATTCTCTATAGTAGACTTAATTAGTTTTTGGCTTTCTCTTGATGGGTCATTAACAGGTATAGGAGGCAGAGGTTATTTTAAATTGAAAACCCAGGATTTTGTTTGCAGCACTGTATGTTTTAATGAGGAGTAGGGGGAACAGCTTCCTATTAATATAGTAGTTGTAAAAGAGACATTAAATGTTAATAATCAGATGTAAAATATGTGTATTTTTAAATTGCTTAAAGACGTTAACACACCTAGGAAGTAAGACGTGAAATCATACAGCAGAACTTATCATTTTTAATGGGTCAAGAACATACATGTATATCATGTATATTTGCGTAGATGATCTATGTTACAGATTTCTTTATATTCCTTTTTAGAGAAAATTCCTCTTTATAAAAAGTGCAGGAACTAGTCACCATCTACCTCCTTCTTCATAAAACTAGAAATGAAACAGAACAATACTCTCTCAGATAGCAAGGACTCTGTTTCTAATAGAGGTTAAGAAAATAGTTCTCTATTTGTTTCCCTAATGTTAAAGTGATATACGAGTTTGAGAGGAGCCACTATAGGTACTTTTCCAGTGACAGACAATACAGTCCTTCATCTTGAATTCAATGTGGTACTCATCCAACCTTGAATCAGGTAATAGTTTTTCATAAGCTGTTTCATCATAACTAGTATTCAACCTGTTTCTTTGTGCTACATTCCTCTTCCTGCTGTACTGGTGGAGTGCAGTAGACTGCGGTCTCTCCTAAGAAGCCAGTGCAGCCTCTTGTCCCCATCTAGGTCTTGTCTAGCCCTCATGTAACACTCTGCTTCTACTGGGAGTAGCCACACAACAAAGGGAAGCTGGGGGAAGAACTGACGGGGCCTTCATTACAGGGCTATGTCTGCCTGCCAAACAAACAAACACTGACTTGGCACAATAGCAGTGGAGTGAGAATAAAGATGCTTCTTATGAGTGGCCAGTCCAGATCCTGCTCTGCTTGCTCCAGGACTGAAACGCTGGAATCAAACAAATTGTTACAGATGAGAATCAAAGAACAATCAAACTATTTAGGTGAGGCCAAACAGGATTTAGACATTTTGTTTAAGCAGCTCCCCCCCCCATTTTTGAAACATAGAGTAGTTTCAAAAGCAATTTGTGATACAACACGAGAGAAGCCATGTTATACATGTCACCGATCCTTCATTAGAAGAAGAAGAGATTGGATTTATACCCTGCCCTTCACTACCCAAAAGTGTCTCAGAGTGGCTTACAAACTCCTTTCCCTTCCCCCCCACAACAGACACCCTGTGAGGTAGGTGGGGCTGAGAGAGGTCTTGACAGAAACTGGTTTTTTTCAAGAACAGGTCTTATCAGAACTATGACTTGCACAAGGTAATCCAGCCACCAGGCTCCTTAGTCAAATGCCTGGTGGAAGGAGGAACTTCCAGTACAGCACGGCGATGGGCGGATTCTCGGTTGCTCCGAGATGCCAGATTCCTTTGTGCTCTTTTTGGAGCCCCCCGGTCGGACATTTTGTTTAAGCAGCTCCCCCCCCCCATTTTTGAAACATAGAGTAGTTTCAAAAGCAATTTGTGATACAACACGAGAGAAGCCATGTTATACATGTCACCGATCCTTCATTAGAAGAAGAAGAGATTGGATTTATACCCTGCCCTTCACTACCCAAAAGTGTCTCAGAGTGGCTTACAAACTCCTTTCCCTTCCCCCCCACAACAGACACCCTGTGAGGTAGGTGGGGCTGAGAGAGGTCTTGACAGAAACTGGTTTTTTTCAAGAACAGGTCTTATCAGAACTATGACTTGCACAAGGTAATCCAGCCACCAGGCTCCTTAGTCAAATGCCTGGTGGAAGGAGGAACTTCCAGTACAGCACGGCGATGGGCGGATTCTCGGTTGCTCCGAGATGCCAGATTCCTTTGTGCTCTTTTTGGAGCCCCCCGGTCGCCGGGTGGGTTTTGCTAGACCACCTGGAGAGAGGTCTAGTGCAAGGGGCTTTGCTGCGGCCCCTCCCATAATTGGCAAGCGGGGGTGTACGCGATTGCCCTAAAGTGGGAGCGTTCATGGATAGAACATGGGCACCATGTTCTAACAAGCTGCGACCATACTTTTTAATTCTTATGGTACTTATAACTTAAAAAAGCATTATCAGCACATCACATGAAGAGATCTATTCATGTAGAAACAAGAGAAAGTTGAATGGTTTTGGAATTTAAAGCCCCCAACAGATGTTTCCAATTATGAGAAAGCTGCCGCAAAATGATTAGAAACGGAATTTGTGGCAAAATGGCGGGGGTATGAAAAACTTTTTGTCTTGTTTGAACTTCAACTGTTAGTAAGGAATGGAAACTGATGAAATGCAACAAAGTAATAAGTTAAAACGATTATATAAAATGACTTTGGAAGATCAAAGTTTTGTTTTAAGAGTACATGGCGCTATGGAATTGGGAGCAACTGAGGAAGAGCTGGATCCAGACACACTAGTCGGAACCCTCACATTGGAACATAGTGAGAGAAATTACTCAAGCAGTAAAGACTGCCTGTAATGATCTTGTGGAAAGCTACCAAAACGCAAGCCAAGATAGAAGTAGAAATGGAGACCAAATTCAAGACACTCAAGGGCTTGCGGAAGAACGAGAGTGCTCACGGGAAAGGACGAAGGAATTGTTTAAAAATCACCCAAGTTCAGTGGAAAAAGAAGATCAAGAAGTAGGTAGTGACACAAGACAGTGCTTAAAAGAACCAATAATTTGCATACTAGAAAAAGAAGCAACAAAAAACTACGTGTAAAAAAGAAAAAGATGGAAAAAAGAAGAGGAGGAGGAAAGAATCTGGCAAAAAGATTTAAATTGAAGAAAAGAATGAAGGCTGGCTTGCTGGAAGATGGAGGAACTGATTTGGAAAAGGAACCTCACGAATATAAAAAGGAACCTCACGAATATAAAGACTCAAGACACTTGAACGAAATCGAAAGGAAAAAGGAGGTTTTAGAAAGGGGGGGGAAGGAAGAGACAAAAACTATGTTTGGTGCAGTATGTTGTTATTTTCTATGCTTTGGGTACAAACAGTTTAAATTTAAAAAATGGACCTTGCTGTTACTGGGAAGAAAAGACAGGAAATTTGTACATGTGCAACCAATTGTTATCTTTGTGGCTTAATTTGTTGTTGTTTCAGTAAGTTATTCTAGCATCTATATATATATATATATGATCAGTATGGATGGATTTGAGTATATGAATGGGACTTTTATATTTTCAATGGGTATCTATTAATATGGATGAGAGGGAGGGCATAAGATATTGCTTAGGTTAATTAAAGTTGAAATATTAGTATTTTTTTCTTTTTTTAGTTAGATATTTCTTTAGACTGTTTTCTTTCTTCATTGTTGGATTGATGGGAAAATGTTATATCAGATTAGAGGCAGAGGTAGGTCTCTTCCTAATTAAAAGAACTAACAAAATGTTTAAAAGACACTTTAAATGGAAATATAAGAGAGTTAAATGTTGTTGTAAATGGGGTGATTAAGCGGTAATATAGGTAATATAGGTTCTTCATTTTAGAATATAAATTGAATTTGAATTAGTAATAAGAAATGAAATGCTAACTATGTAAGTTAATTGTGGTAACATCAATGATATGGTTTCCTAAAATATATATTTCTTGTTTAAGAGATGGTGAGAATGTTTGAATAGGCATATTAGTAAAGCACTAGTAAAGCTATATTATATTAGTAAATTTATAGTTAAGCATCATCTATTAAAAATATGGGGACAAAAGATGGAAGTTAAGATCGTATGACATATAGAAGATGTAGACATAAATTTAAATTGATATCTTTGTAGCAGTTCAAATAAGGAAGAAGAAATTACTTAAACAAGTAGAATGGCATCATTAAAGTGAAGCCTGTTTAGTAGTAACAGTTTTTGATACTATATGAATTGTAAATTAAATCTACTATAAACTTTGTAGTTAAAGTAATTTATAGGCTCTTGTAATACGTGATTGGAAAAGGATAATAGGAAATGGCAATAAATGTATAAGTAATCCAAAAATTTGATTGGAGTATTTATAATTAAACTATTAATCCAGATTTGGATGTTACAATGTGCTTAACTATTTATATGTCCCTTTTTGTGTATGTTTGTCTAAAAATAATAAATAGATCATTAAAAAAACAAAAAACAAATGCCTGGTGGAAGAGTTATAGCCTAAAACAATACAGGTTTTTTAATTAATGTAGCTTGTGCAGTCCTTGGACATCTAGATTTGTCTCATGGCCTAGTCCCTGACCTTTTCAGTGCTATGTTACATATTGTTAGATTATTTATTAAAATATTTATTCAGACTTGAAGTGGAGGAAAGTGTTCCCATCACCCCAGCCCTCTGTCTCCTGTATGGCTGCTTCTCTGTCTCTTGGCCCTCTCAGTGTGGCTTTGCAGCAAGAGGAAGAGCAGTCCTGACTGCTCTGGGCTTCAAGGCATTCAATACTGCAGGCCACTCCCCTGTGCTGCCACCTTCTTTCTTCCTTTCTCACAAGGCTTGAAAGCCTCATGAGCCTGAGCTCCCTCCTAAAGCCTCTTCTTTGGGGTTTTCTACTGCCACTTGGTGGCTTCCAGTTGGCTGCCAATCTAAGGCAGGAGTTGGCTGTTGTAATCTGTGTGTGTGTGGGCCCACCCAACAGCTGATCAGCAATGCTGATCTTACCAGGCCAGCTCACATCTCCAGTGGTGTTGAAGCTGGCCCCAGCATTGTTAGAGAAAGCCTCTCCCTCCTGGGATGACGGGCAGCACAGAGATTCATCCCAGAAGATGCTGTGATGGTTGAACTCCTCCCAGGTAGGTCAGTTGCAGTGTTGTGGGGGTTGAAAGCCAGAGCGAGTG